TTACCACCTAAGAAATATGTAAATAATAAAATAGTGGAATCAAATACCTTTTTTATTGCCTTAAGCTGCTCATTCAACAAGTACCGGCGTTGTTCACCACTTATCTTTTCCTCAATTGCTTTAGCAATTGATTCCTAAAAAAAATCACCAAATCATTTAGACCTACTCCAAATCAAATGACAATGAAAAAGGTTTAATTAATGTAGAGGTGCAATGAAATTTAATGGCATCAAGTACCTGAATCTTGCTGATTTCCATTTCTTTTTTTACTAATTCCAGTGTAAGTTGTAATCGCTTATGCACCTAATGAGAACAGTATAGCACAGTTTAAAGAGAGGAAGAAGATAAGTATTCCAGTCTTCAAATGTAGAAAAACAAACAAAGAGGTGCCAATGCCAGTTTTCCGTAATGTGTAGACAGCAGCATATATAATTCACATAATAGAAGTGTGTGACTTTTAATATCCCCAAACACAAACAAACTAAATCAGACCAGGCTCTCAAAGATTAGTAATCAACAGTAAAATATATCCAAGCTACTTACATCCAACTCTTCAAGAACTTGTTGGCATTGCAATTTGTTTGCACCGGATATTGCAGCTCCAAAATCTGCTAACCTTGGAAAATTGAAATCACCTATATGCTGCACAAATTGAGAAAGAAGGCAAAATAAATGAAAAGATATCACAAGTAACCCATGGAAGCTAATTGATCAAAACAACTAGTACATTTTGATTGAAATATGATGTACATATAACAATTTTTATCACAAGCAATTGCCATGAAATATTACTAACTCATTGTAATATTAAATTTAATCATAGAATATTTGCTGAAGTATTATGACAAATAAATGATGACCAAATAATGTGAAACTCAATGGAGGCTCCACCTACATTGAGGGAATATTTTGGGCAAAGTACAGATACAAGGAGAAGAAGTTAGGAGCTCTAGATAACATAAAGAGAATACATATAGCAACATAAAGAAAAACAAATCAAAATTTTGGAGGAAAGAACACACCTGACTATACGTTTGAACATGATCCCTCCAAAGGGAGCTAGTTTTCAAAACATCTCTTAGGGTTGATATAACCTCAAATGATGTTGCCTTTATCACATCATCATCCTTATCATAAGGTTTTTCCTGCATGATAAAGGCAACTCGGCGAATCAATAGATTAATAACCTATTGATTGCATAGTTGGAACCATATATTCTGCGTTTGAAATTTGAACTTATAATTGTGGAAATGATAACATATAGACAACATACCTTGAGATGATCAACTTTGACAGTAAGGGGATCTTCGCTGACCTGTAGAGAAACCATGTTATTCAAGTTAAGAAGGTTTTGCATTTAACAAGGATATAATTTTACACAAACACCAAATTCTCAAAGGCTAAAAAGATATATTTCAGGATTGTTCCCACGCACCATCTCTGTTATTCGAAGCCTCCTGTGACCAATAAGGATAACCTGGTCTCCTTGGATACTTGAGATCTGAAAAAATTAAATTATAGATACATGAATCAATGGACATGTATTATTGCATATGTCTCTATAATTGTCATTAAAATTATTGCATTTAACACTAATAAAGATATAACAAGACCTTATTTTACCAAAAGAATAGCAACAAAGATAGATACCTGGGCAAGGGTGCCAACTTCATGAAGACGATTAAACAACTCCTTTCCTTTAATATCATATACACTTTTCTCTGTTTCAGCACTAGGGCTGGACTCAGTCCCCGGTTCATCTTTAAGAAGGAATGCACCAGCATATGGAGCTTGCCTTTTTCGGCTTTCTTGTAAAGCTGCTAACAACTTGGGATCCTGCACAATAAAGCATCTTGGTAAGAGAATCCATTGACCTCAAGTCCTAGATAATAGGGCAAGCAACAAACTCACCAGGATATTATCACCATAGTTAAGTAGTAGAATAGAGAGCAAAGTGTGGACATTTTTCTTGACTTATAAAACTACAGTTTTGCTCAAAATAAATCTAATCTATGAAATGGTTCCACTTCAAGGTTCGAGTTATATTAACTTGGCAATGCCACAGATAAGGTTGGTCAAGATAAGATCTATGATCATATAGATAAAAATTGCTCCAACAATTGTTTAAATTTACATTTCATTAATATCATTAAAAACTTAATGTGTGCATATAGCCAACTTAAGTAGTATCATTCCAAGCTACAAACTCTTTAAGACACCTTATAGTTCAAAAATGTAGTTCATACTTTATAAACTACCACTACCCTAAGAAAAAAAACACGGGGAGAATTCCATGCTCCATTTAGTTGGACAGAATGCAATACCTTTACATAAATTGGCATGTAGAATCCTGGGAAAAGAGGTCTATGCGGCAAAGGTAACGCCAAAACCTGCAAACAAATAAGATAAAGAATTCGTTAAACAAAGGTGGGAGAGTGCAAACACAAGTTTATTTGAAAATGTAGTTCATAATTTTGACAGATAACCTCAAGTAAAAAACTTTACAATTTGTTTGACTATGTTTAAGGGAAAATAAAGTAGTGAAAATAACGATTTGCAAATTCACTAATTTACTCTCATTTCATCACTCCAATCAATGCCAACTCATTTTACATGTTTTATTTAAGTCCAAGAAAAGAATTTCACCACAAATATTATGAAAAGAACCAACTTTACAAAACCAGGTAGCCTGGAATAGCAAAAACCAATAAACAGTGAGCAAACTTTAACACTTTTAAATAGCAACAAATATCATAAAAAAACAGATTTTTTTTAAAGAAAAAAAAGACATTTTTCTGTTCTTTCTGTTCCTTTATTTTCTCAGCAACTAAACAAACTCCCACCGCAAAAAGATTCATAATTCCCAAACTAACCGTCAAAAAATCCTCTGGCCTGGCATAAGTCGGCAGGATCGCAGAAGATGCTTTGGATTCGGACCCATTGAGCTCGGACTCTGCTCCCTTTATCTCGACCTCAACCGCTGCTTGGTACCCGGAGCTATCGCTGGAATCAGAACAGAAGCAAGCCCTGAAGAGCGAGTTCTTAGGGCTCCTCCGAGTCAAATCGGTAAGTCGACCCAATGCATGGAAGACAGAATTGGAGTCGGGCTTGACTCGGAGGCCCGGAGTTGCTGTGTTGAGGCATTGGACGCGAGAAGAGGAGGATAAGAGTTTCAGCATTGGAGGGGATAGAAGTAGTGGAGGGGCAGAAAAGAAATCCTCTGCGACAGCGGTTGGTTAAAATGGCAGCAGGGGATGCGCCATTGGAGGAGGCTTGCAGGGGAAAGTGTGGGCGTTTGGGGAGGTTGGAGGTGGAGCTACGAAAGCCCCTCATAAACCCTTGGATTAGACATGATTTGACCGTTTTGCCCTCCACTTGGTATCATAAGTACGGACATGTCCTAAATCCTATTAAAGTAATTACCTTTCATGTTTTTATCTTTTAAAAAAGTACGCTACGCAGAGTACATTAGAAAGACGGCTTCGCTATTGTTACGACAGACAAACGACAGCTTTGGTAATTGGAAACTTGGGTTGGTTCTAGGTGATTTCTAGCAATTTCTGAAGACTAACTTTTTCTGCTTGTTGACTTGGTTGGCTGCTACAACCGTATTACGGTTAAAAATGATATATAAGTTTTCGTAAATTATTTTAATTAGATATAAATAAATTTTACTTTTAATTTTATTATTATCGAATTTAATTTGAATAATTTAATTTATTGATTGAATTAAATTTAAATATTTTTATATTTAATTTAAATAATTTATAAATTAAATTAAATTTTTATATTTTAATTATTTTAATTAATAAAATATTTAAAATTTGAATTTAAATTTGAATATAAATAATTAATTTTTTATTAAATATAAAAATTAAATTTATTTTTACAAATTAATCGAATATGTTTGGATCCGAGTAATTTGATTTTTTTAAAAAGAATTTAAAAAATTAAATTAAATTTTAAATATTAAATTTAAAATCCAAATCAAACTTAAATTTAATATTATATTAATTCAAATTCTCAATTACATTCGTAAACTATATTCTATCAGCCGACAATCTAGAACCATGGAGAAAACATATATTTTAATTATTTTAATTAATAAAATATTTTAAATTTAAATTTGAATATAAATAATTAAATTTTTATTAAATATAAAAATTAAATTTATTTTTACAAATTAATCTAATTAATTGACTATGTTTGAATACGAGTAATTTAATTTTTTTAAAAGAAATTTAAAAAATAAAATTAGATTATATTTTAATTAAATTTTAAATATTAAATTTAAAATCCAAATCAAACTTAAATTTAATATTATATTAATTCAAATTCTCAATTACATTTGTAAACTATATTCTATCAGCCGACAATCTAGAACCATGGAGAAAACATATATTTTAATTATTTTAATTAATAAAATATTTTAAATTTAAATTTGAATATAAATAATTAAATTTTTATTAAATATAAAATTAAATTTATTTTACAAATTAATCTAATTAATTGACTATGTTTGAATACGAGTAATTTAATTTTTTTAAAAGAAATTTAAAAAATAAAATTAGATTATATTTTAATTAAATTTTAAATATTAAATTTAAAATCCAAATCAAACTTAAATTTAATATTATGTTAATTCAAATTCTCAATTACATTCGTAAACTATATTCTATCAGCCGACAATCTAGAACCATGGAGAAAACATATATTTTAATTATTTTAATTAATAAAATATTTTAAATTTAAATTTGAATATAAATAATTAAATTTTTATTAAATATAAAAATTAAATTTATTTTTACAAATTAATCTAATTAATTGACTATGTTTGAATACGAGTAATTTAATTTTTTTAAAAGAAATTTAAAAAATAAAATTAGATTATATTTTAATTAAATTTTAAATATTAAATTTAAAATCCAAATCAAACTTAAATTTAATATTATGTTAATTCAAATTCTCAATTACATTCTTAAACTATATTCTATCAGCCGACAATCTAGAACCATGGAGAAAACATATCCCAAGCATTAAGTAATCTTTTTTGTTTCCACCAATGATAACACATAATCTCATCAAAACCTTTTGCTTTTTTGCTAGATGTTGTTTTAACATTCCCTTGATAAAATAAACAATGAAAATGTTTGTTCTTGAGCTGCAGCAAAGTTGCAGCTTTTGCCATTTTCATTTTTATGAACATCCTGATGAATTAGTGTATAACAAATGGTTGCACATCTTTTATCACAAATATTCATGATAATGAATGAGTCTTGGTCCATGATAAACTATGGGCTTTATCAAAAGTCTTGATCAACTCTTTCTAGAATCTAGACTATTGGTTTACTTTTCAGTGCACGTGGCAACAACAGATTCCCTTCCCTCTTAAGCCTTTAACAAAAGAAAGGTCTGTCTGATCTCAACTTTTCCTCTGCTTAATCCCCAAATTAGGGCTAACAAAATTAGGGGTTTGGCCAATTTCTGTCTTTTTCAAAACAGTTGCCAATGGATTTCCAGAGCAAAAGAGTTCAGCTTTTGCTCTTAATCGCTGGAGTCATCCTTCTCAGTATTACAGGTAACAATCTCAAAAAGGTCCTCCTTTTGCACTCAAGTTTTATTTTTTACTTAAATTTCTTGCTATGTTCGTGAAATTGTTGCCGTATATAGTGTAATAGAAACTAAAATTGTGATGGTTTAATTGATTGCATTCGTTCGTTGGTATTAAAAGTTTGACCTTTAATGCAACATTCCTTTTTTTTTTTTAGTGTGTAGCCAATCAATTTTAGAGTCTTTGATTCAAGTTATATTATTTTTCTCTTGTTTGTTAACTTTTATGGACTAATTTGGTTGTTCTCTGAACTGGGTAATGAGTCTAAATGTCCAATGACCCTTTTTTCTTTTTTCTTTTTTGAATATCATTATTTTTTAAAAATTATAATAAAGTTATATCATTGTCTGCCTTTTCCAATGCTTTGATATGTATTTTTGCTATGATTTATGAGTCTTTCATTTGATTTTTTTTTTCTTTCATTATGTAGCTGAAAAATGTAGGCAACTGGTTGGGGAGGAGGCATCATCACAAAGTGGGCAATTTACTTTCTTAAATTGCTTCGATATGGGCTCTGGTTCCGCATCTTGTGCAGTGAAGGAGGGTGTGAAGCTTTATTTCTACAACATTAGAGCTGCTCATGTTGAGAGAGCAAGGAGTCTTGCAATTGAGAAGGCAATAGAGGATGCAGTGTCACAAGGAATGGCTGCTAAAGATGCAGCTAAACAAGCTCTGATAGAAGGGAAAAAGGCGGCAAAGTTGGCAACACGACAAGCCAAGCGCATTATAGGCCCTATTATTTCCTCTGGATGGGACTTTTTTGAAGCTATATACTACGGTGGTACTATCACAGAGGGATTTCTTAGGGGTACAGGAACGTTGTTTGGTGCCTATGGTGGGGGTTTTCTTGGTGAGCAGAGTCTTGGGAGGGTTGGTTATCTTGTGGGAAGTCATTTGGGGAGTTGGGTTGGAGGTAGGATTGGACTGATGGTTTATGATGTGGCTAATGGAGTGCAATACTTGCTTCAATTTGTTCAAATGGAAGAAAGTGAAAATCATGAGGCTAGGGGTTACGAAAACTCAGAAGATTCGGAGAATTCCTATGTTTATGAAAATTCAGATGCATATGAATCTCCACCTGATGAGAGCACTGAATCACAAGAAAGTTCTAGTTTCTGGTGAATACAGTAGTTCATGTTGTTTTTATTTTTTCGTTCAGAGGAATATAGATGCAATATAAACTGAAATTTAGTTGCTCAATTCACGTGTATAAATGTACCAATAGTTTTGTAACAAAATCATGTTATTTTGTTTTGACAGAGAAGTTATCATTAGTTAGTAATCCTTGAATCATTTGAAATCTTGTTCTTTTCTTACACTCTCGGTTACACACTTCTTTGATCTCCTTATGGCTCCGAGAAAATGATGAAGTCTCTTATTGGAGATCCATGCTGTACTGGTTAATGCATTACTTAAACCGGATATTCTAACCTGCATACATGAATGAGTAGTGCCTAGATGAAAGGTGAGTTACAGGAAAACACTGCTGCTATCATTTAGCCAACTTTAGAATCTATAACCTTGATTGAAGGTACTGGCCTGCAGTTCCACCCTCACTCTTTTCTGATATAGGCTAATAATGATAAATGATTAAAAGGGTTTTTGTCTGATTGATTATACCAATCCATATATGCAAATGAAATCGTTCTAAAGCTTTCTATAGTTATAATTTGTTCATTCCATTGCTAACGATAAACTTAGTTTGAGGCACCAAGAACAACTGCTTTCATCACAGGTGACTGATCATATTATTGAGATATTTTGAAGGAAAAAGCAGCAGCCCAAATGGTAGTTACATGACAAATAAGGCTAATGTTTAGGGATTGTAACGGGTTGGGTTGGGTTTGATTCTTACTTATTTCAAATTCGATTCAATTTTATATTTATAATACTTAAATTTGATCTGATAAAAATTTTTTTTTTTGTAATACTCGAATTTGATTCAATTAAAAATTAATAGAATATTTTTTAAATATAAAATATTATTTTTAATATAAATATAAATTAAATAAATAATTAAAAAATAAAATTTTTTATATATAAATCGGGTAGGGCGAAGCGAGTTTGCCTTAAAATTTGATCTGAATTTTATTTTACAATTACCCAATCCAATTCGACTTAAAATCTGATTTAAATAAAAAAAATCGACTCCAACAAATCGAATGGGATTAAAACCAACTGGGCATGATTGAGTTATCATCAGTGTTTGGTCTTATCATGGAAAAAGGCCCATGCCCAAGACCCAAGTGGCCATAGTTTATTTGACTTCTTAGATGGTCCAACAACAATCAATTTATAGGTTGGCTCCACCACCATTTTTTTTTGTTCCCTTTCAATTTTCAAATGCTATTTTGATGCTTTTGGGGATTTCTGTTGTGTAGAATTCCAAATAATTTTTTGTAGAGTTCTTGTAAAATCTACAAGTTGAATTATATATTTAAAACATTTGTTGGCAATGAAACTAGACTTTTTTTTTTAATCCTTTAAGTTCCAAATTGCTCAACTTAATGTTAGAAAGAATAGAAAAATTACCTATTATCATACAACTACTCTTAAAAACAATGAGAATCTTAAGAGATCGTGAAATTTTATATAAATAATACTCACACACACCCTAATTCTCCTCTTAACAAAAAAAAAATTCAAATTTAAATGTTTTATTTTTATTTTGCTTCAAACATATGGCTAGCATATAAAGCAATACAAACAAGTTAAATTATTCCTAGACGTTGAAGTATCTACCAACCCTACCAGCCTTAGGGGAAAAGTATGGCAACTTGGATGTCAAGTAGTCGAGGTTGCTTTTGACGTCGAAGTTGCTTGCTAGACCTATTATTGTTGGGGTTGGAAGTGACCAAATCGGGCTAATAAATTAGCAGAATCAATCTCATTGTTCAAAACCAAAAGCAGCCTTTATTCATCAATTTGGATTTGGTTTTCTCTCTCTCTCATTTTCAAGACAACGATACATATGTGCTTGTTCTTGATTTCTACATTTAACCATATGCATATGATCATGACTTCCCCAGTGCTTTCACTTTACAATTTGGAATGAAACTCTTGCAATAATTGCCACCCTTCTTTGTAAAGCCTAAGCTTTATTGGTTAAAAATGATAATAATGAAGTTCACGCACGTGAAGGAATTATGAGTTCTCGTAGAGACAAATTGATGGTTGGAATAAAGAGTAATAAGTCAAATCAACAAAATGAGCCTTGACATATAAGACAAAATTTCAATTACTAAACGATTATGGGTATTTTCAAATTGAGTTTAACTCTAATCTCCTCTTCAAATGATTTTAAGAGCATTATCTTTTATATCGATATGATACAGTTAAGAGTTTATTTCATGAGTGATGTCCACAGATATTTTAAAGAGTAAAGATAATTTTGCACTTTAATTTTAAAAAATAATTCAAGAGAATAGGGGTTTGATTTGAATTATGAGTTGTTTACACTTTATTACCATATTTTTAATTTTTAACTCAGATCGAAGTAGAGAGTTATATTGGTATACACAATTTTCAAAATGGTATCATCGCATAAAATGTCAAACAAATTTTTTATAAAAAAAAAGACTTTTAAAATGAAATTTGGATGCACAAAATTACTGCTTAATTCTTTACCACCAAAATTTTTCAAGAGCCGAATCAGTTGCTTACAAAGTTCATACAAGCATGGCACGAGCCTTCAAACTTACTTTATGGACATGTGTGGAGGTCAAAACAAATTAGAAGAAAAGTTATAAGCCAGAAGGAATAGTACTCATAGAGCTGCAATGATAGGGGAGCATGCACTAACTTTAAGCGATTGATGATCTCTAACATTCACCGTTGAATACAAAAGAAAAAGATCATCAACAGAATATAGAATTCAAACAAGGAGTTGCACTACTTTATTATCTCAATATTGCAAAAGGATTGAAATTTTTTGAATTGGAAAGAATATTGCATTGATGCCATGGCATGAAAATGTCTTCAAAAGTGGCCATCCAATTTCTGTAAGGGCATCTTGTCTTTTAGATAGTTCAACTATCACAAGGAAGAGAGAGAGAGAGGGAAAACATGAAAATTTGCTTTCTTGCTGGTCAGTCCATCGAAATTTCCTATATTCTTGCATCATTTTCATTTCACTACTTATGCTTTTGGCTTTTGTGCAGCATTATTATCGTGGAAACCACATTCAATTTACGAAATATTATATGTTTTGATTTAAAAATTTATCTTTTACCTCACAAGTTTAAATTTAAGTCTATATATATATATATATATATATATATATCAAAATAAAATTTAAAATTATTCAGATGTGAGATTGAAACGTTATAATTATCAGCTTGTAGAAAGTAAAAACATTATCAACTATTTTATTTTTTATTTTGAAATAATACTTAAATAAGTCTTCAAATTTTATTAAAAAATAGAAATAAACTCTCAATGTTTTATCGCATTAAATTAAAGTTATCAACTTTTATTTTATTAATATAATTATAACCATTAAAACTTGAAAATAAATGAATAAAATCTAATTATCAAAAATTTTAAAATAGTTCTTTTTTTTTTATTTTGATATTTGACTGATGAGGCCAATTCAAACACGCATGCCTCTTAAATTCCTTGATTGATTGATGAACCAAAATGTATGAGATATCGTCCAAAGTTAAGACAAACCTCTTCTGCTTCTACATTCTTCAATTATGATTGACCGTTGGTAACTATCAATGTATGCTTGTTTCTAACTTTAGGATGTATGCTTGTAATTAAGCAATATCTTTGGAACAGGACAATGGCAACCATAAATTGGGATTATATATAGTCTAACAAGCTATAATCCAAAAAACCAAACATGACAACACTTGTCCAAAAGTAAAAAGAATTTGGTGGTGGACCCAAAATTCTTGTCCTTGAGCATATAATAAGAGGATAGAATATCGTATTTAATTTGATAACATTAAGTGTGAATTGAGTGATGATGCTTATTATTTATCTAACTCTTCAAATAAAAGGAGGTTTCCTTCACGTATAGCTTTGGTATTTCATTATTATTTGTTTTGGTTCTTACAAATCACAAAATGTATGAATGGTAAGAAATTCCATATATACATAGTGTAGTGCGAAACCTCAAGTTATGGGAATCCATAGTGTGAAAGGTAAGGAATCTTGGGGTTGAAGATTGAAGTTGAAATTAACACGGAAGCGTTTGAAATGTAGAGTGAAATTTGAGTTTTTTTGTTTATTAATTTAATGAATGTCCTCTGTCAATTAATATTATGGACTTAGGGTTATAAATTGCAATTTTTTTTTCAAATGCTAAATTATTCTTGCTACAAATTAACAACACATGAGGAAATTTAAATCACAATCAGAAAAGCATTTTTTTTTTTTATTAATCATCCATATATATTCTTTAATGATGATTGATGAAGTTTGAAAAATTTTGAACCTTGAAAAAAAAAAAACCTTTGAACAATATTGTCCTTTGCTAAAATCATGGAAAGATGGTGTTAATTAATCAAAGGGTAGAGAGAAAATAGAAGCCGATGTTATTGATAGGTATTAACTTGAATTTGAAAATTTAATGTTCAAATCTCCATACTTATTTTAGATTATAACTTCTTTTATATTAAAAAATTTAGATTTTATCTAAATAAATGCTACTATTAAATTAAATATTTCCACACCCGTAACATTAATACCTTGTCATTAATAACATGGAAAAATTAGGCCTCAGCATTGGTATAATTATGCCTGATTCTTTCATTGAAGTATGCCCGATGTGAAATCAAAACCTTTCTGCATCTTTTTAGTAGCCTAGATTTTAAGTTGATATATACTGTCTTTTGGCATAAACTTGACCCTACAAAATTTAATGTCCATTTGAATTTCATTGCATTTTTAGTATAGTAAAATTAAACTTATCGCATTATCAGTTAAATCTAAATATTAATTCTAATAATATTCATTCAGCATAAATTTTTTATTAAATTTTTTTTAATCACAGTTATAACAATTTTTTTAAATTATAATTACAATTATTTTATTATTATTTTTAATTTTACCATAATCAATCTCATCATCTATCCAAACAAAATCTTAACCTATAGATTATGAATTCAGCGGCCAAATCTTTGTTTCCTTCGTTATTATTACAAGGACAAGGATCTCTCTTACTTTCCCCTCTCCTTATCTATTTGTAAAGATTGCCTGATCTGCCAATAACATTGAAGACATCGAATAGCTGCCCAAACCCTTTCTTTCTTTTTTGATAGAACGTCATAGTTTTTGCATTTAGGACAAACAAAACCTAGTAAACGTTCCAAGAAACAGGTAAAAATTGAAGTTACAAATAACAAAAGCTATCCAAAGCACCTCTACTACTACTATTATTACTACTACTACTACTACTACTAATAAAAATAATAATAGTAATAAACAAGGCCAAACCTCCGCGTGGTGTGGGCCCCACAATTGCCTATAAATAATGACTCCATGGACGGTTTTGAGATTATCTCTGGCTCTCTCAAGAGTTTTAACTTTTACCTTGAAATTTTGAGTCTTTCCCATAACCTCATAGTGTCGACATGGTTTGCGAGAAAGATCCCTTGGTACAAAAAGTTTGTGAGTTGTACGAGAAAATCTCAAGCCTTGAGAGTCTCAAACCTTCGAAGGATGTCAACATGCTCTTCACACAACTTGTTCTCACATGCATGCCACCAAGCCCTATCGATGTTTCCAAGCTTTGCAAAAGAATTCAAGAAATGAGGTCTAAGTTGATTCGACTATGTGGAGAAGCCGAGGGACTCTTGGAGAACCATTTCTCAACCATCTTAGGATCCTATGAAAACCCTCTTCACCATCTCAACATTTTCCCCTACTATTCTAACTATCTTAAGCTTAGCCAACTTGAATTCGATATTCTTAGCAAACACTGCTCAAATGTCCCTAGCAAAGTTGCCTTTGTGGGTTCTGGTCCGCTTCCTCTCACCTCAATTGTGTTGGCTTCTTTCCATCTTACCACCGCCTCTTTCCACAACTATGATATTGAGCCTTCCGCTAATTCCAAGGCTCTTCAATTAGTTTCATCCGATCCTGATTTATCCGAACGGATATTCTTTCACACCTCAGACATAATGGATGTTACAAATGCTTTGAAAGACTATGAAGTTGTTTTCTTGGCGGCGCTTGTCGGGATGGACAAGGATGAGAAAGTTCGAATCATTGATCATTTGGCTAAGTACATGGCCCCTGGGGCTCTTTTGATGCTGAGGAGTGCGCATGGTTCTAGGACTTTCCTTTATCCAGTTGTTGATCCTTGCGATCTGCGAGGATTTGAGGTCCTCTCCGTATTCCATCCTACTGATGATGTTATTAATTCTGTGGTCATTGCACGTAAATTTCCAATGACTAAACACTCCATTGAGCAGCCTCTTGGGTACAAACATACATCATATCATCAACCCCACTCAACAATCAATACTCATAAGACACTCTCAATCTCCTCTAGTCCTATGAAGTATTCTCTACCCAAACAAACACAAACCCAAACTCTTATGTACTTTTTCAACACAACCAAACACATACTCATATGCTCTCAAACATCATACCTATGTGGACCCTCTCAGTCTCCTCTAGTCCACTCACAAACAAACATACACACCCATAAGACGTAGAGCCCCAATACTCCTATGGGGTGTCTATCCCACAAAACCCTACAACTCTCTTACATCTTTTTTCTCATACCTAACCCTGTAGAGACTTCACCTATTTATAACCATACAAACTTGCCCATTAAGAATCCCTCTCCTCTTAGAATTCTTCTCCCGTAAGTCAAACTTGCCTATTAAGAATCCCTTTCCTTTTAGAATTCTTCTCTTGCAAGTCAAACTTACCTATTAAGAATCCTCTTTCTCTTGGAATTCTTCATTTGCAAGTCTTCTTGTCCATCAAGCAATATATGACAAATCTCAAACAAATCTCTTATGGGATTTGAGTCAATATTCCCAACAATCTCCACCTTGACTCAAATTCCATCAATCATCTGTCTTCATGCTAGACATGCTTGGCTCCACCTGCAATGGAAGTCTCACAATCATCTTCTCTTCTCTTGTGTCTTCACGCTTCATACAAACCAATTCTCAATCTTCAAAACTCGAACTCTTCTCTTGAATCGAGCTCTTTTGGACTTGCTTCTTTTCATGTCTCAAACCATGCACTTCCCAAACCTCGAACTTTTAGCTCTTTCCCGTCTCGAACCTTCGGCTCTTTCCATATCTTAAATCTTCAACTCTTCTCACGTTTTGAACCTTCAGCTTTGATACCACTTGTTGGGGAACACCACAGCTCTGATACCATTTGTTGGGCTAAAAGCCTCCAATCCAATCGCATCAGCGGAAGCGAAATCAAACAATAAATCAAACACACAAGAGACAATAATTTAACGTGGTTCGGTCCAACTGACCTACATCCACGGATGAGAAACAAGATCCACTAGTTGTAGAGAATTACAAACATACATCATATCATCAACCCCACTCAACAATCAATACTCATAAGACACTCTCAATCTCCTCTAGTCCTATGAAGTATTCTCTACCCAAACAAACACAAACCCAAACTCTTATGCACTTTTTCAACACAACCAAACACATACTCATATGCTCTCAAACATCATACCTATGTGGACCCTCTCAGTCTCCTCTAGTCCACTCACAAACAAACATACAGCCCAACAAAACTTCCCAACAAGTTTTTTGACATTGAAATGTTCAGTCCCCTCAACCATGTGAACCTGGTGGAGGAGCTTGATATTGAGGAGCAACGCTCCTGAACCATGACTATCCATTTTAACTCTCGCCATGGTGTTCTTCTATCACGCTCATCAAGGTGTTCTTAATTTGAATTGCTTTTCGCTATGTTTCTGCTGCTTGTCTAACAAGTTATCTACTAGCAACATTTTTCCATTCTCTGTCCTTGAATCCCCAGTCTTAATAAATTAGGATATCCGGTTCAGCCTGGTCTGGTTCAAGAAATGTTATCAAGGTGATGCATATTTTACTGATTGGTCTTTAATTTTCTTCTTTGCATGCCATGATATATAGGATATCTATCTATAAGCAAGGAAGCAGGCATTTTTATTCACCTTTCATCCTAAGGTCTTATTGTATCATTGATTTCTCCAATTGAAAGCAAAAAAAAAATTGTCTCTGAGAATTCTACTTATGATTACGTAAGTATTGCAGCTGCGTTACATGATTTATCCATTGACTTCAAAATTTCTCATCTCAATCAGTTAGAGAAAGAACAGTATATCATTTACAATATTGTTATCAACAAGATTAATGCAATATGATCAATTTTGCTGATATCATGCCCCCTATCTTGCAGTTCTTCTTTTTGCAGTTTTTGTTTGTTTTACAATGTTGGATAAAACTTATCTACTTGGATAGTGCAGTTAGAGGAGTTAGGGATAGCAGAGGAGAAAATGTTTATTTAGAGAAGCCCTTATTTTTGTTGGATTCTGCAGTCATGTTTTTGTCAGTCATTGCCATTTGCAATCATAATTAAGATCATCTAGTTGTGCAGGTTGGTATACCTTTATAAGTATATGGGAATCGTGAGCCTTTTGGAAAAATTATAATTCCAAAGTCAATTTTTTCTGTCTTTGATTAATTATTTCAAATGTAGGTACATGATTGATACTGTTTCTTCCGTGCCTTAAACTCTATCTTGATGAGATACTTTCTTAAGTAAAATCTGAAAGTGAAAGGATGCCTGTGTTTTAAACTTTTACATATCTCCGGCCCTATTGTGAATGATTATGCATTCATGGTATGATCGTGAGAAAACTTTTTCCTGTATGTTATTTTCAAGTATTTACCTTGATGGTTTGGTTTCTTAGATCAAATTAGGAGTAAAATCGGACTTCCTGTTAACATCGATAAGAGCATAGGAGTTTGTGCAATCTACTCTAGGGATTTTGTAGGATCACTGAAAATGGTTTTTTGGCCAGTGAAATCATTAGATGATCAGAATCTGTCCTAGTTCTTCGCTACAGACATTTACTAACTAGACAAATTTGTGTTGATTCTTTTCTATATTCTTCCATTTTCTTCCCTTGTTTTGCCTGAGCCAACAAATATTGACAAGGACAAGGTACTCATTGTTGTACCTGCAATCATGGAATGATAATTCTGTTTCATAGATACACAAGATTTAATTTTCTATTAGAAATTTCCCTCCATCATAAGAAAACAGGTTTTTTTTTTTGGTAGGATTAATAAATATTGCAAAGTGGAAGGCCCTATAAATAGTGAAGAGGAAAGTAATGGTAGCTAGCTAGATAGTTATCTAGCTTTCAGAGTGCAAGTATATAGATAGAGTTAATGAACAACAATCCTAAATTTTCACTTTTCTTGATCTTGTTTCTCTCAGTCGGTTTAAAGTTCTAAAGGAGGGGGGAGGGGTTGGCAAAGGAGGTCTGTTTCACTTTGCCACATGTAATATATATCAAAAGAAATGAGTAATTCTTAACTTGAAAACTAAATTCAAGGCTTCAGAAGCCTAAATTCTGATACTGGTGAACATATATGTAGATGCTTCAATTCTCAATGTCTAAGGTTTAAAATTATATGTGCCATATGGCACCATGAAGCAGTATCAGTTCTTATAGGATTACCAATTATTATGATTGTAACTCTGCTTTGTTAAGACGAGGAGTATTTTTTATCCAATGCATAATCACTGTAGCCAAACCCATACTTGTGATACTATTTTTTTTTTTTGTTACATCAAGAGAACAAAGTCTTAGTACAAGTAAGGGGAGGAGACAGGCCTGATTCGAAACCAGGCCCTTGATGTCCTTTTAAATGACTTTAACCACTAAACCAAAGATTTGAGACAACTTATGATACTATATGTACATGACTTTGAGCTCACCAAGAATGAAACTTGTTTTATCAGTGGTTTTTTTTCTTGGTAAGAAAAATTCAGGGGTAAATAAATTGTTCAGTCTCTTAAGTCAAGGTAAAATGTGCTGTACTCGACAACTTAAGATAGGTGATTATAAATCGTACATTCGAGATGACTCTAACAAGTGACTATTGGCAGGATTCAAACGCAATACCTTTTTATCGAGGAAGACGAACCTTTTTCATCAGTGTTATTTATATATATTTTACCAAAATATACTATTATCAATTAATGGTTTGCATTTAATTCTGTGTGAATCAACATGATGAATAATACTACAGTTGATTCTGATAGAAAACTAATATTACATACAAGTTAAGCATGTCTTTTAAGAAACTTGCACAGAATAACATATTTATTCATTTGCACAGCTAGCACAATGTATAATTGAAAGCATTCCATAAGGCATAGCAAACAAAAGTTTAGAAGAAAAGTGAACCATAAAGAAATGCTTTTAGTTAAAGCAGACATGACTCCATAGAATCCAAGACTGCCTTGTATTACTACTTACATACAAGACTACACACTTCAGAAAAAACCATTAAAGAAAAAGCTGATGCTTATGTTGAGAGACACTAAATACAAACTATAATCAAGGCTCCTTAAATGAAACTTTGAAAAGTAACACCAAAACCAGTAGTCAGGAAAGTCATCAGGACCAAAACCAAATTCATCAAACAAGGGAAACACCAGAAACTGCTGCTTTTCCCAATTTCATATTTGACTCACCACTGAGTTATCGAGGACACTACAGCAGGGTTTCAGTTTGTCACTCCTATACCAGTAAAGTATCTTTCATTGCACCACTTTGCTTAAGGGGGAAGCCACATTATCTCTTTTTGTACTTTTTTTTTTTTTGCAACATTTTCAGGAGCTTCTTGCATGCTCTACAGAAATTAATTATGAACTTAGCGCTTGCACACAATAGAGACTTAATTGAATTAATATTGAAATATCTGTACCATTCAATGCATTGAGAATTATCATGTTTAATATGAACTTTTTCCATGGCAAGTGCCGTGAGACTAATCAATTAGAATATTGTTTACTAACTTCAAAAAATTACACAAACGATTAAGAATAACAACATTTACATATTTGCGTTGGATTGCAGACTAAATTATGTTGTAGATCTAAATAATATTACACGTAAAAAAGGATATTTAAAAATCAAGTTTTTTTTTTTATCAAATACCATCACTTTCAGTTCCAACTCCAGTATCTAAGTACATAGGTCCTCCAATGTGTCCGGCTACGCCCTCCATAAGAGCAAATTTCATATCTTCGGATGGTTTCCAGTGCCGCTTCCTCTGGTTGATGAACCAATTGTTGATTTGCTTCTGGTCTAGTCCTGTTATCTCTGATAATTTCAACTTCTCCTCCTCCTGCAACACCGCACACCCTTCTTAAACGTTGTAGCACAAGTTTCCAGCCAGAAAAATATGTTATGTGAGAAAAACAATAATGAAGCTTTTTCATCCTTTTCAACCATATAGTAGGGCAGTATTAGTTACCTCCTTTTTCCTTTGTAACTTAATAGATGAAAATAAATCTTAAAAACATTCTTCTTTAGTCAATGTTTAGGACTTAATTGGGTTGAAAAAAATACAAAAAAAATATACTTATTTGTGGCTATGGTTTCAATAAATAAAATACAAAAATATATACTTTTTGTGGTTATAGTTTCAATATATAGCTGAATTAGGGTTCAAGGACAATGCAGTACTCTTTCCATAGAAGGATTCGATGCTCTATCGACAATAGTCTCAGTGAACATAACCCTAATGAGAGTGAAATGTTCAAGTCTTTTGAATTGAATTAGCATTCTGTTTCTCTCACTCTCCTTTCACAAAACTCCATTGAAATTCATCTAATATGGCATAAGCATGCATTATAAGGGAGATTTGCAGGAAAAAAAAAGATCAAAACAAAAGGCACTAAGTAATTAAGTTGTACTGCAGTTACCGTAGGATATGGCCATCTATAACGATTGTTCCACCAATCTAGCAGTGTCATCCTTGCATCTTTTGGTAGCTTATCCTTCTTTCTTTTCTTCAAGAATTCTTTTCTCAAACTGCTCAGATAGCCACTGTATTTGCGCATGAGCATTCCTTTGATGTCCTGGCTAAGATGGCCACCTGGAGATTCTTGATTTTCAGTAGCTTCCACCTCCCCACAACTTAACTCTTCCTCTGAAGTCCCAGCAGTTTCATCTGAATATATATATATATATATATATATATATATATAAAACATGTAAATATCTAGTAAACATTTAGCTATGAAGGACATCTACTAGGATACAAGTCAGTGAACAAAATATCTACAAACTTATCCGTCATTGAAGTTCAAAAACTTGGTGAAATGACTACTTCATTCAATCATAATCAGGCTTATTTTCTCAAACTAATAGCAGCATGGTCCTACTACATGATGGAGCTGCAAAATTGAGATTAGATTAGATACTTCCTGTATTATTGAAAGCGTTTTATAGTTAAGCAAAATTCACCATGAACAGACCAATTTGCAGAAACATTGAAAAGAAATTAATTAATTAATTAATTATAGACAATAAACTGAAATATAAGTATACATAGACAACCAGATAAAATACTTTTAGACTATCATGCAAGATTTTGCTGGAAAAAGGCCAGCAGTATCATGGACACTAAAATAGAAGCAAGAAAAAGAAAAGCTTTGCTTATAACATGAATTACAGCCTGAAAAATCTTCACCATACATATATGCTTTCCATTTCTATTTCTATTTTTTTTTAATTTAAAAAAGAAAGGAAAGAAAAACAAAAAGACAGAGAACTAATTTGATCATAACGCCAAGACCAACATGGATTTTGCTTTTGTTCAGTGGAATAAATGAAGTTTCAAATTATAATGTGCAGTGCAATGAATACCTGCTATTGTCTGACATACACTAAGAGATAACGTTGCTGAACAAGACAAAGTGGGTGATGTACACAATGTACTCATATACATATATAAAGCAGGCAATTTCTGGTCCTTTCCCAATTTGATTTAAGTATTCAAGGGAATCTGTAATATTATACACCAGGGTTCCTCTACGTACGTTAATGATGAATTAAAATTTGAAAAAACTAAGGACTAATGTCAACATACAAAATCTAATTTGTTATGAAACAGTTCAAGACGTAGAGAAATGAACTCAATTATTTGCAACCCTACAGGTAAATATGTAAATCAAAATTAGAAAAACAAATGAATCTCATTTACTCGTGCATCACCAAGGCTCGTGTTCTGTGAACTAAATATGTAAATCAAACTTTAGTTCAATTAACCATTTGAATGTTATTGTGTGTAAGTGCTTCAACTAATTGACCTAAAAAACACACAGATTTGGGGATGGAGAGTCAAAATTGATTAAATTTTAAGCTAATGTACTCCTGAACCATTTAATTTAGGAGAAATATAAAAATTAAGCCATAATTAGATGGATATTAAACCTAATTATAATAAGGTCAAGTAAAACAAACCCAGGCAGAAAAAAAAAAAAAAAACTAAATTAATCCTGCCCTGGTCCTCTTCCCAAACTAAGAATTAATTTAACAGTATAACTTAATTTTGTTCTTGCTTTTTTATTGAACACTATCTTATCCTAATTACTTACTGGGTTTTGCTTACCAGTGACCTTAAAACATTCTTTCAGGTTAACTACTATATTATTTATAATAATAGTTTCATATTTAATGCAAGCACAGTGTTACATGCACTAAAGTATTGAATTCAAATGATGCAAGGGCATATCTATTTTATCCGGGATTTAAGTGAAAAGTACTAAAATTTTTAAGAGCTATGATAGAATTTCGAAACTTATATTTACGTGAGTGTGTGAAATATTTGTATTAAATGAATGTATATAATCTTTTCACAAATGCAATAGTCAACAACTTTATTTATAATTTTCAATATATCAGGTTGAAAATATTGCTTTATATAGTAACCTTATGCACTCATTAGCAAAATTCAATTTCTATAAACCACAAACATGGCAGTGTTGGGAAGAGAAATAAAGGCTCAATATCAATTATTATTCACTAGCGAATCATAGGTATATCTAAAGCTCATTATTGCCCAGGGAGGTATAACCAGAACCTGGAAATTAGAGATCGACCATGCAACTGTTCTTTCTGCTTAAAGTGTAAAGGAGTAATTCATGAAACACAAGCTAACCAAAGCTTAGCAAGAAAATAGTTAAGTGGACAAAAGGGAACAGAAGAAAAATTATAGATAGTACAGTCCATGGATCTTACTTTAAGGGTTTTCAACATTTCAACTCAATCAGAGAGAAGCGAAAAAAAACTATTTTCTTTACATGCACAGTAACAGGAGATTGAAGTCGAACCCATTAGTGATCTCCACATTGATTGAAATTTTTTAATGCAAAAAACAACATTACCCTTTTAACCAATTATAGTACTTCGAGATGAGAATATGCAGAGTTAAAAACTTTACCATAGCGATAATCCAAGGTTTTTGTCAGTGCTCCTTTACAGAGGTTACTTAGCTGTGATTTGACGTTGCTCAAGAACGTTATAGCTTCATCGAACGGCTTTGATAGCTCCTCTTTGAATCTATGAAGAACCTCACAATATGATTCCTTCAAACAAAGAAAAAAAAGCGCCAACAAGACAAAAGGTTATTCACTTATTTATTCCTAGAATATATTGAAATTCATGCAACAAGTTTTATGCCCTTTCCCTTACATTTTCTTGAGAACCAAACAAAACATGAATAACCTTTTCCAAGGTAAAAGGACTGTTTTTCCAAGAAAAAAAAAGAAGAAGAATCTTTGACTTTACGTATACCATGAACTCGTCAAGTTCTGGATCAGCTCCTATATCACTGCAACCGTTTATCCGGTGGTTCTCTCGGCCAATTTCTTCCAGAAGAGAGGCCAGCTCAGGCGGTGCTCCAACCTATATATATATAAAAAAGCTCAAAGGATATTGCTAAAGAAAATAAAAGCTGGATCAAGCCCTCCACCACACAGTTTCTCTAGCATTGGAGAATCAAGATAAACTTTTTACTGTTGTTTTCTGGCATCCAAACAAATTATTATGATAATTAAACATAAAAAAATCAACAAAAAAAAAGTTTAAAACAAATAACCACCTTTTGGCATTCTATGTAAGCAGATACTAGGTTTGGATAACGAGGGTGACTGGCGATCTGGGTTTTGATCAGATCAGACACATCTGATCCAGTGGCATCTGTATCAGCTGCTTGATGATCAAATTGAAGTAAATGATCCACTGGACTGAGAAAATCAGTGGCAACAGCTGCAGCAAAGTTATTAACCCTTACAATATCATTTGAACACGAGATTGTAGGATCATTAAGCCTGTACAAGTCCTCCATGGTCTTCTCACACGAAACTGTAGGTAACAAAATCAAAAGAAAAAATCAAACTCCTAGTTTGAAAGATTTAGGCAACCTGGGTTTTATGTAAAAATCTCTATCATGCCCTAAAATATGCAAAAATGATCTAAGACTAACACTAGACATGCAAGTTTTCTACTGCTTGTTCTCCAATAATCCATCCCCAGGAAACTAATAGTTCAAGAATCCAAGACAAAGATAGACAAAAGATAGTATTAAAGAACTAATTACCCTGAGAGTTTAGCTGAAAAGGCTATAGCTTTGGGTAACTTGGGACGTTGAAAACAAGAAATAATCGCCGCCATTAGAGAAAAAAAGCAGACACTTTTGAGAAAGAGTTGAGACGATAGGAAATGAGCAAAGCTTGCGAAAACATCTGAGCTTAGAAAAAGTGGCTTTCAAATCTTAGTTGAAGTTCCATTAATGAAGAAGACCAGACCTTGCTTTCTTTTCCAAGAGGACCTGAGAGAGAGAAAGAAAGAGAATGTTGGATGCGGAATCCTTTTCACACTTAGCAGAGAGGATAGTAGAGAGAGAGAGAGAGAGAAACGTGTTCACACGCTCCGCAACGGTGAAGATTTTTCGTTCATTTATTAAAGCATTTGATTTTGATTTGATAAAACTCCGAAGGGGATTACAAGTTGTTGCTGCAGCAGTGGTTGTGTTTCTTTTTTCCCTTTTTTGTCAGATTTTGATTTGTTCTTACTTAGGAGTGAGTTACTGGGTTAGACTACTCGGTAGTAGTTGCACTTATGGTTTAAAACTAATTGAATATAGCCCGTATTTTATAGATCATCTGTACTTCTTCTAATCTCTCTCTATGTATTAATAGTGACATGACATTTGACAGGTTTCATTACCTCATTGGTTGTCTTACTGAGGGTTGTGGGTCCCTAGCAATAAGGGAAGTGGACTGTGGTGTGTGCCTTCTTCTCTTCTTATCTATTTCATCACTCTCATCCATACCATACTAGACAACAATCGATTGTCAAAATTCTACTATTTTTAATGTTAGAGTTGGATTGGAGGTTATCCGATCGGTTTGGTGTTTGTGCACTGAATTCATCATGTTTGGAATTAAGATGTACCCCGACTCCATTGTTAATTAAGCCTTATCATTTTATGAACATCATGACTTTTATGATCATTACATAACCAGAATGACTAAAGGAGCTACTACTGATTTGGTACAAGAGAGGAGCATTCAGGTATAATTTGGAAACGAAAATGATAAAAGATATAAAGTTGGAAAAGAATCAAGATGTTCGATAGTTAAAAGAGGAGCTTTGTCTTCAACTTCTTAGTTTAAGGGCTAAGAAAATCTTAAGAAGACATAAAAGGTTGAGGTTTCACCCCATCTCTCTCTTTTCTCTTGTTGTAGGATTTTATCCTCTTAAACACCAAAAAAAAAAAAAAAGGAGGAGCTTTCTTTTGGAGTTATAACAAGACCAAGAGCATGCTCTGCTTGAGACAGTGGCCAGCCAAAGCAACGAGATGGAGACATTGGCCTTTGGCTAGTTGTATCTTGAGTAATAATTTTTCTATTGACTGCATCTCGTACTAACATTTGATCTGCGCCAGTCATGATATGCATGTTCATTTTATAGAGCCAATAAACCTTCTTTTTTTTTTCACTTATAAATTATTTATTTGTTGTCAATTAGTGTACTTGGTTGAACTTGAAGTTGAAGTTTCAGATTATGGGACGTAAAGTAGTTATGATTAACGTTGTTGTAAATTAGTAAACATCTAAAAAAAAACTCTATTAACATCCAAAATAAATTGCATTCCTCTGTTAAACAACAAAATAGCAAATTTAATATTTTGCAATCCTTAACCTCAAATAGTCCACATAGGAAAGATGTTGAACACTGAAAACTTCAATTAAAACCGAACATTTTAACATTCACAAGCATCCATCCATTACAAGAATTAGATTTTCACTGGTTCAAAATGGATGGACCTTCATGAAAATCTTGAGCGATAGGACATAAGTATGACAAAAAGCAACATGCATCTCGTGCCACCTAATTAATTACTTCACCATGAAACCAAGAAAACTGTAGCAAGTATTTCCTTATCTCAGATTAATCATTTACGGAAAACACCTTCCGAGTTCCGAGGAAGGAACTTGATTACTCGAAAACATTTCTTCAAGTGCATCCTTCATTTCTCGAGGCAGTACACGGAACGCAAGTGATCAAGAATCTCTGCACACTCTATTGGACTTGCCTCATTACAGAATACTTCATCCCATACCTTGACAAGGTCTGTTCAATGGCAACTCAGTCAGTATATTGATTTACATCTCTACCGTCTATAGTTCGAAGAAAGAGAGCTTCTTTGTAAACCAAAGATTCTGTTATCCAAACTTTGTATTAATTAGGTAATAGACCTATACTACTAAACATTCTAGAGGGTATTGTACCACTAAAAAAAACGGTATAGATGGTAAACATTCACATAAACATACCAGCCTTGTCTGTAGGTGAAAGAAACATAATAAGCATGTCAAATCTTGGAACCTTGGTCAAATTTTCTAGATACTTAATAGCCAAATCCACATCCTCCCTGCTAAATGAAACCAGTAGGAAGAATCTGGTCAAGTTACAAAAAATTTTGACTGATATGCGAGTTCCGGGAAGTAGACACCATAAAAGAACTCTATTTACCTGAAAAAGGTAGCAACACATTTCACGATGTCAACTAACATAGAAGCAGACAAGGCATTTTTAAAGATCTGTGGTAATGCACTTGGAGACGTAACCTACCAAAAAATAATCAGTTGTAGTGTGAATGAAAAAACTTAAAAAGAAAGAATAACATTTACACAAAGGACCCATAAGCAATATAATACCAACTAATACAGACCTTCAGAAGATGAGCCTGTAGTGCACGATCACCAGATAGGGCTCTCCAGGAAACCTCAAACTGATATGCTGTATTTGGGGAACTAATGTTTTTTGCAGCTTCAGCCATTGCTCGACTGGCTGCTCTAGAAGCAAGCTCTTGCACTGAAGCCTTCAGCTCTTGCTTTCTAGTTCTGTTATTTCTCTGTGAAAAATTAAATGAGGGTGCGGTCAACCTCAATTTAATTTAAGACTAAAAAAAAGAAAGAAAGCATAAATAGCATGATGCGTTCTATTAGTTATAGACGTGAATAACAACGGACAAATATAATGCAACATCTAATAGGATAGAAATGCTAAAGTAATTCATTTTAAAAATGAAAAAAACAGTGCACTGAATCCTGCGACACCTAAAGACAGACTATAGCATTATCGACCTCAAATAATTTAGAGCAATGCAACTTCAATTGCTCACTCAAGTACACTACAGACTTCCTTACTAATCCAAAGAAAAACCTAAACCAATGCTAAAACAACTACAATAAAACTAGAAATATTTCAAAGTCACGATAATATAGTTGTTTACAAGCATAATTTACTTGGTACCATGCTTGGGAATGCTCACAATAGAAGTGGAAGAAACCAAGAATTACATGCTTTAAAAATAAAATCCTACTCAACAATTAGTAATTCAGGGGGGCTTAACAAAGATTAATAAAATTTTGATGGGATACCCATCAGTGGACCACCTCTGGGGAAGGGAGTCTATAATCTATAAGCACTAGAATCAGAAACCTCGAGCTTTGGCACCCAAAAAACTACAAATAAGAGAGCAGAGTTAAATATGCACCTTTATATAGAGTTTTTATTATTTTAAATACTTGAGAAAAACCTGAGCCTTCTCAGAAGCAAACAAAGTATGACTGATAAGAGTCTCAGGGTGAATAATATATAGTTACATATGCTATTACCTTAATGCTCTCCGAACCAACAAGCCTAGCATCTAGTTGAGTACTGTCTGTCCTGCTTCCGGGCCTGATATTTCTTTCTCCTATTTCCTCCAAAGTTACAGATCCCTTCTCAGGTTTCTTCTGCTCGTCACACTGAGAAACCTAACAAAAGAGATCATGCTAAATGAAAACATAAAAATTTTCCTATTCTAGACTAAAAAATTACATTTGCAAAACTTTAGGCTTTGTGACATAAACAAAGTCAACATTGATTCATCTCTTCATTTGAAAATAATCTACGAGTTATATATCATTCTATATTGCAAAACTGGTTTATGAAGAATAATACACAAACAATTCATTCCTTCCCATCTATGTCTTTCAACGTATGCTGAGTGCTTCATCAGCACAGTAAGTGCATTATTTACTGGCAGCCATGAATATAGCTACATTCAACCAAGAAATTCTATGCCTTCAACAAGATAAAAGGCATCAACACGTGCTTATATAGTTGCCATGGTCTACCAGCGAAATGAAAATTCAGTTTCAAGAACTCTATTGATTTGCGAGCACAGAGCATACTCTATGCAGGGATCAATGAAACTCCAAATCCATTTCATCCTTAACATATAAACATCTTCAATAAAAAGTAGCGGCTGTTAACAGGAAAAAAGAAATTCTAACTTCCAATACCTTAGTTTGATACCCTTGAACTGCAGCCACTTCTGTTCTTTGAGTACTATTTGAGACAGAATGCATCCCAAGTCCATTCTCTTTTGTCTCTGACTTCCCTAATTCCTGAGCTCCTTGCATGGACCTTTTTAAAACCCCAGAGGCCTTCTGAAGAACCTCCTGGGATTGATAAAACAACAATGAGTGAACTGAATTGAATGAAATAGTAAAACAAACAAATAACAACAAAACAGAAAATCTTCTAACAACTATCCCATCAATTTGTTAAGAAAACTAAAAGAAAAGGAGAAGAGGCTGCAAATCTTCAACACAGTTCTATAATAGAGAATACCATAGCCTGATTTCCATCCATAATTCTAAACCAGTTTTATCATCCATGGCTTTTCTAGATAATCTGAGTTCCTGAACTTTTAGTAAGTTATATTCCAGAATGAATATAGAACAAAATGGAATGACTTTAAATGCTTACTTTCTCATACAAGGATTTAAACTCTGCGTGCTGTTTCCTGATTTCTTGATTGTTAGGTTCTAACCTCAGGGCAAACTCAACATCTGCAATCAACTATGTTCACCATATAAGATCTATCAAATTTATATAGAAGCCATACAAAAGAATCCACTTGGGAGTTAATTCAAGAGAGAACTTGCACTAAACATACCTTCCATGGATTCTTTAAGTTTCCCAAGTTCTTTTCTAGCCGTTGCTCGTCGTGAGTATGCTTTTATGTAGCGATCATCGAGATTTAAGGCCTCTGTACAGTCATCCTCAGCCTCTTGAAACCTAAAGAGGGAAAACAAAAATCACATTCATGTCATTTTCCTCATCAAATATATAAATCATGCAACAATTCAATCACAAAACATTTGGCCTTTTAAAGAAAACTATGAAACTAGGGAAGCCTACCAAATGTTCAGATTATTTTCTCAGAATATAAGTGCACATCAACAAAAGAGTGTCAAACTTACTTTTTTATCTTAAGATAGGCCATAGCCCTATTTGCATAAGCTACAGCCGTTGGAGACAGGGCAATGCTTCTTGAGTAGCAGTCGATAGCCTCTTTAAACTTTTTTTTCTTAAAATAGTCATTTCCCTGCCAATTCGAAAATAATGTACTCTAGTCAACATCAAACATATCAGACATGCCCAAAAGGAAAATGTCATAAAAATTAAACTTCTCACCAGTTCTTTCTCCGAAGCTGCATCGGGCATATTTTCTTCAGTCACAAAACCACTTGATAAACTGCTCAATTTATCATAATTATGCAAATAATCATAATGCCCAGAACCGGTAGTCGAAGTATTATTTAGGGGCCTTTTTCCTGTTGGCCTTCCTTTCTCACTGGTCTTCTGGGAAAATGTTATCATGTAAGATTCCACATCAAAGTGTCATACCCAAGGAAATGAAATGAATGATCACATTAAAGAAAAAAATAACTTTTTTTGTCCTTTAAAATTAGTACCATACTTTACAAAATATTTTTGAGGGTTGAAAAGTTACCAATTCTTCTTTATCAGAAGCCTGTGATTTCATTTTCTTGTCCTTGTCCTTAAGTGAAAGTTCCCAATCCTGCAAGTCATTTAAAAAGCCCTGGAAATCCTGGAAAAAAAATCAGTAGAACAACGAAGAGTAGATAGCAAATAAGTAACCTTTTTTTTTTTGCAAAAGATGAAAAAAAGGGAACCCAGATGATAACTGATAAGATATAGTATTTGAGAATTGTAAAAGCTCCAAAGGTCAAACCTTTAAGGCTTAAGCTTGAACACAATCAGCACTTTAATCTAATTAACTTAAATAGCACTTGAAAAATCTCAATGTTCATAATGGGTTGAACAATTTAAAGAAAAAAAAAGCATAGAAAATATCGTCAGAGAGCCAAAAAGTAACAGATTTTGAGCAACAAGTGATGTTCAAAGCTTAAAACACTGAAACTTGCAAAGAAAAAGAAAAGGCCCATTAAAAGGAAAAAGAAAAAATGAAATACCAGAGCTTGATCGCGGCCGTGCTTGCTCGCCATAAAGAGATTAGAGGTAGAGTTGGTCTTGTTTTGGATTATTCAGGAAGAGAGAGGGGCTTACTTTGTTAAATTTTCTCGGTCGACAAGCTCCTGAGCCGGGACCGTGAGAACAACTTTATTTTGATTTTCGAGTCGTTTATTTGTGGATTTATAAGTTTTGGGTTTTGAGACCTTAAATGAAGCTTAGGCCCATCAGAATAAACCCACCCTTACCCTACTTTTTCTCACTATCTCATTCGATTTAATCGTAAAATATAACCTCAAATTTTAATAAAAAATTAAAATACATTCAAACATATAAGATACAAGACTATCATATTGTGCCAACGAGACCTTCATGGTCCTCTATTCTGCATCATTTGAGAGAACTTACATAGCTGAATTTGGCTCTCAGTGGAATATCAGCGAGACATTTCAGTTCCCTTCATAGTTACTTGCAGTATTTTTGCAAAGATTAACACACAATAAAATTTACTTTTATTTTCCCAAAGGTGATGTAAACATTAGTGCTAAAACTCCAAATTGATATGAGATTACTATACATACAGGACCAAGCATGACTCAATATTGCAAATTTCAATAAAAATCATAACTTGATGAAACCCAGAAGATAAGGCAAACCCAATTACAAGATAAAGAGAAAAAGAAGAAAACTTTACCTTCGTGGGCAGCGCTGAAATTGTCTAAAGAAACAGCTTAAGATCATGTGAAGGAGGAATGAAAGAGTAAAAGTAAAGGGTGTTTAGTAGTCAATACATTCAATGTAGGAGACTTAGCGAAGTAGCAGGGTGTGAATGGATGGTGAAAGTTGGGAGCCGAAGGTTGGGTCAGAAACTGAGCAGGGTACCATTGTTTTGTTAAGCTATGAGACTTGGAGCTGTTGCTGACTTGCTGCTGGCTCAAGGTACTCATATAGCAGTACTCTCGTACGTTAGTTATTTATCATTTTTTTAAGTAGTTATTTACCACTTGTAAAAACTTCTTGTATACTAATTGGTACCGGAAAAACTAAAGGAAAAAATGACACGGGTCCTAATCCGACACCAATCGGTATTGGAGCACGACCCGTTTTCACAAAAGGAGTTCCTTGAGGCCTAAAAATATAAGATGGAAGTTCGAACCCATCACCCATATCTTCAGTTTCTTGAGGCAAAGGGAAAAGAAGCAAGCTTCTTACTATTATTTCTATAGTATCAGATAATCAATTTTGCTCTTCTTCGTCTTCAGTTGACCGATCTATACCCTTAAATCAGAATGAATGTAAGTCATTCCATTAATTATCTTTAAAACCCATTTTTTATTTTCTTAATCTAACACTTACCACTCGAAAAAAAAAAACACTTATTTTTACCCTTTCTTTTCTTCTCTTTTTTGTTTTTATTTTTTTTCTTATGCAGTTTATAGCTTCAAAGCAACCTGAAAATAGATTACTAGGCCCTGAATCTGACACGCAAAGGACTCTGTATGTTCTTTATCTGATTTCCAATTGATATAGGGTTTTCTTTGGTTATTGGGCATTTGAAATTTTCCCTTTTTTCTTAATTTTGATTTTGGGTAGGTACCCATACGTGACTGGAACATCAGTTGTGGCTTTAAAGTATAAAGATGGGATTCTGATGGCTGCTGATATGGGAGGTCAGCTCATACCCTCGTACACTTCCATAAACCTTTTGTTTTCTGAAATTTTCTTTTTTTACTTTATGTGTTTGAATCGGTCATGCTATTGCAAAGTAGTTTTTGCTCTCTGAATAAAGTATGCAAGTGAAAGGCTAAAGATTGGGGCCTTTTGTGGTGTTTTTGGATTTAAAATGAAGCAATTAGCTTTAAGCATTATTGATCCGAAGTCTTTTTTTTGTGCATTTGTTTTTGGATTGTGATATAAATGTGGATTGTCGAATGCTCCTTTTTCTTTAACCTTTTAATGCTGTATATAATGTTGTCATAGAATAGAGGGTTCAGTTTGATAGGATGCTTGTTTGATAGTATGCTCTCAATGATCAGTACTTCATGTAGATTCCATATTGCTAGAACGTGGAGATGGTATGTGTTTGTTTTGTAGCATCATTTGAATAATTAGGACTTCATTTATTAGATTTCTTCTCTGCTGCTAACTCTATTCTGCAAAGTCAGTAACCAAATTCCCTTGAGGGAGGTGAAAGAGATGTTGAATCTGTTTGCGTAGTTGCTAGATTATCTTAAGAGAGAAATGGGCTGCAGTTAAAATGAACTTTCACTCTCTTTCACATTCAAATTCAAGTTTGTATTCTTCTTTTTTTAAATGAACTTCTTCAAATCTGTGATGTCCCAAAAAACAAGATGTACGCTTATAATGAGAAATTCATTTTTGCTTATATGTCATTTGCCACATGCATGCTTTGCATGTTTTTTTTCGTTTTTGTTTTCCTTCCTCTGCCCTTGTATTCTCTTGTTTTGAGCTAGAAGTACGCTGGTTGAAGTACCCCCAGTATTGCTCTAAAGATAATACGCCCCCATCTGATACTCATTGTCCATCTGACTGGTATATGTTTGTTTGATTGTAGAAACTTCATTATGTAATTGAATGCACTTGATTCTTGCCTGCATCCTATTGATTGACAGGTTCATATGGGTCCACGCTGCGGTACAAGAGTGTGGAGCGAATGAAGCCTATTGGCAAGCATTCTCTTCTGGGTGCAAGTGGAGAAATCAGTGATTTCCAAGAGATTTTGCGTTATCTTGATGAGCTTATGTAAGTATTGACTGAGAAATAATAAACTATTGTTTTGATTGTTCTTTCATGAGTTTTATTATTCCTTTTTTTTCCACAATTTTCGCTTGGTTTTGCTGGTAACACATGTTTTTATTGTTTAAATTTTGATGTAAAATTGTTTCTTTTGGATGTTTGATTATTGTAGCTTGTATGACAATATGTGGGATGATGGCAACTCTTTGGGGCCTAAAGAGGTGCACAATTATTTGACTCGAGTCATGTATAATAGGCGTAACAAGTTCAATCCATTATGGAACTCCCTTGTACTTGGTGGAGTTAAAAATGGACAAACGTATCTTGGAATGGTAGGCTTAAAGTTATATCTTTGTCCTAAGTGAGCTACTTTTAGTTTTAAGTTTGTAATTGACCATGCTTATAACTATGACTCTTCAGGTGAATATGATTGGTGTAAACTTTGAGGACAATCATGTTGCAACTGGGTTTGGTAATCACCTTGCACGGCCAATTCTTCGGCAAGAGTGGCATGAGAACTTGAGCTTTGAAGATGGTGTTAAATTACTGGAGAAATGCATGCGCGTTCTGCTCTATCGTGATAGATCAGCTGTTAACAAGCTTCAGGTTTGGTCATTTCTCTTTTAACATCTTGACTCCATGTTTTGAATAAAAACTGTTAATCCAAGCTACTAGATAGCAGTTTCTACAATAGTATGCAAGAGTACATGGCGTTCTGAGCTTTTGCTGTTAGTTAACAACTGTCTCTATTGAAATTACTATTCTGATAGACTCTAATTTTATCATGAAGAAAACTTGCTCATTGGCAGTTGTTACGTGTGAAAAACTATTTTATGATTGCCTGTTAGTTGTTTTTATATCCAATGAAAAATGAAGTGTCACTATTTCTACCGTGTTTCACTTCCATGTTAGTAAGGTTGCAATTTAGGTTTATGTATTTCTCGGGATGGCTCTTACTCAAATCTATTCTTTGGCTAAACTGTTGTGATCATTGACAATCAAGGCATAATTTTATCTATATTGATGCTTCATGCATTTGAAATCTGATATTGCAGATAGCTAAGATCACTGAAGAAGGTGTGACAATTTCCCAGCCATATTCATTGAAGACCTACTGGGAATTCTCTGCTTTCGAGAATCCTGCTCAGGGCGCCATAGGATCATGGTAGCTGTAGCAAACAGTTTATCATTTCTGGAAACTGTTATGGTATCAAAAGAACATTAAACAATCAACTAGGAGTTAAAAAAATTTGATGCATCTTTATGTTTACTGACTTGTGAGTTCTGAAGCAACTTTATGTTTCTGTAAAACAATTAAGTTTGAGGTTGATTATCATGATTAATGAGACAGCAGATGCTTTTTCCTTTCTTTGTTTTTGAGCTTAAAGTGTTGTTTATCCTTGACCACTCTCTTAGATTCTGGACTCAGAAAAATTTTACTTGTTTAGGTGGGCTGAGCATCAAATTTCCTTTTAAAGAAAACAGGTTTATATCAATTATTCTACTGATAAAAAATATGAAACATAAATATTTTATAAAATTGTTTTGGATAATGCTCTGTTTATCGAGTAATTTCAAAGATTACTAATTACACCACTTTACTATATGGATTGCATTCATTGCATATAGTGTCACAAGCTTTTAAATGATTCCAAGACCCCTCTGCCAAAAAAAAAAAAAAACAAATGAGTCCAATTCATGAACTGAGATTAAAAGGAAACAAAAAAGGCTTTCACATTTCCTATGACCATTTAGGCCAAGATTACATACAAAAAGCTAATATATAAATATATAAATATATAAATATACGTACGTGTGTATGTATAATCAAACACAATCACCTCTATCAAAAGCCTAAATATACAGTAACCATCTCTAAAGAAGAGAAAAAAGGAGAAAAAAAGTATATATACGAACATTTACAAGATAAAGCACCAAATAAAAGAAGCGCCATCATTTGATGCCATTGCCAACAAGCAGGTATTTATTTTCTATAAATGTCAGTCATGACCAGTTCAAGGTAGATCACTTCTTAATTTTGGATCTTTTGCTGCAGATGTAGCTCTCGTGACCAAATGCGGTTAATTAATTTGAGTTGTGGAGAGCTGTGGGTAGATTTATATCTTGCTTGAGTTTAGAAATGGCCGAACAGCAGCAACCTGGCTTGTTCATGCAGGACTTTGAGCAAGCATCAATCTACTCTTTTAACTAAGCTCCTGTCGTCCTTTAGTTGAGAAGATAGTAACCAAAAAAATTATGACAAGAAAAGGAAAAACATAACATTCATGCTGATGGAAGAGAAGAGAAGTAAGTAGGTTATCATTAGATAATAATAATAATAATAGACACTGTAGGAGTAAATCATTCCATTTTCCCCTCCTTTTCCTTCCCTTGAAATCAAAAGACAAGAAAAGAAATGAAAGAAAGACATCCATCTTATCAAGAACGAATAATAACACAACAATACGTAGAGGAATCACTGGATTTTTTTTTTTTTGGGCTACGTAGTAGTTTTCATTTTCAAAGATCAGGTAGGTTAAAGCAGACTTGGAAATAGGAAAGGAATGGTTGAAGGTGTTTGTTTGTTCATTTCAAGAAATACTATATAATTCTCTACCGGTGGAAATGGAATGAATTGTTTTGAACGGCTTGTTATACTGTATATTGTTGTTGTGTGGATACAAAGCGAGCGATATTGGAATTTGAGGGTCCCTACGTCTGCATGACGGGTACGTGCTGATGACCCTAGACGAAACCCAATAGCCCCCATAAGCAACGGCGCATCTTGCTTAAACACACCATAAATAAATATTATGTAAGCATTTCAACTCAACATTGTGAGTATCAATCCACTTAACTGGTCTCTGCAACTATAACTAGGGCATTTTAGTTGCTTGTTTAATGTAACACAAGATACAATAACATCCTCCTAACACCAACGGTTAAGAATCACCTGTTTTATGGCAATTAGCAGTGAGAAGAAACCCAAAATGTTAACCATCAGCTGACAAATGATGAATGATGAACGTAGAAATCTCGTGTATACATGCATGCATGATCATCGTTGACATTAACATGTTAAGACAAGATAGATAAATAGATAAATAGATAAATAAGAAGCGAGGGCAATTAGCATTTCACCTTGTTAGCTTCAATATTAAGTTATATGCTTTCAACAACGATGGCTTATTACATTTAAATGTTCCCTTCTCAATTCATGTTCATGCACATTAACCCCAAGAAGAAAATTAATTACGACCATATTGAACTACAAAGACAAATAATAAGAATACCAGAATTTTCATGAACAAAATTTTGAATTGATCAATGCTTTTACAAATTTATACAGGTTGGACCCAATGTTAGCAATATAAAAATTCAAAATCAGCTGCTCATCTTCTTGACTCTAAATTATTCAAAGGACTACTAAAGACTTTACAAAAATAAACAAGTACAACAATAAAAACACTGAGCAACCATGTGAGATCAAACTACATACCTTGGGCATCTCGTACGTAAATGGATGAGGAAAGTGTTGAAGATATGGAATATATCATAGCTCATATTTCTTTCAGACTGCCTTTGCACTCAAGAAATAACAGCAGCTGTTGGTAAATTGAAGAAAAGAAGTGACTAGACAATCATATGAACAGTAAAAGCAATAGCCTGCTTTATAAAAATAGCAAATCCAAAAAATAATCAGGTAACATATAGTCACTAACTAAACCATAAGGTTTTTTAATCTCAAATATATTAATTTATGTAAACCTGAGGAAAATACCCACACACAATAGAAAATTTATGTACTTACATTATAACTAAAATTAAGGATCAAAAGAGAAAAGGCTTCATTGTTCCACCGTAGGATTCAATAACCATTGGCAGAACATCCACGCAGCTCCAACTACTGATAAAAGTGACAGCATTGCTAGAAATCCAAAATAAGAAACATCATTTGCAATTATTGCAACTCCCAACATTAGAGACTCAGCTAAACTTGCAACAGAAATCTCTGTTATCCCAATAAGATTTGCCCTGGATGATGGGATAGCTGTTTGAAGTATCTGGGCCCCAACAATATCATATGACATATGTCCCAACCTTGATAATAACTGCAGACAGGAGGTGACAATATATAAGTTATTATGCTAATTCTAAGATTGTTTGGTGTACTTTCTTCTCTCTTTCATAATTTACATGATCATTTCATAATTTCTAATACGGATTTCCTACATTGACGGCAGGTTTCCTGCCTTAGCTAGAGCAATCAAACTCCTTAGAGACAGCAACATGGATTGTGATGGCTCCATAGTTCCAATACTTCCAAAATAATAGTTAATAGACCTTTAGAGAATCCATTTGTCTGTTCTGGTGCTGTTCGCAGATAAATAAGATATCCAGCCGTCATTGTGCCTAGATCTCGATTTGATCTACAACCACGGCCAATGCTGTTCACCAGATTCATTCGTGCCTTTGTAAATTCCTATTTCACCAAGGCAATATGGTTTCAACTAAAAGTCAATGGTCTAGTGATGTTAAAGTTGTTCGTACAATCAAACATAAGAAGAAAAGAAGAGGACTCCTCTGGTAAAGAGATCCACTCTGGTAAACAGCAACAGCCATGGTGAGAAGTAAAGCCTGAAAATTTAATCCAACTGCTCCAGCCTGTTTGAAGGGAAAAATGGCAATTAGAACCACCCCCAAATAGAAAATTCCGGCAAACAAACCAAACACAAGAGCAAACCTTTAAAATGCCAAATCTTCTCACTAAGGTTGCAGATAAGAAGGTTGCTGCAACACCCATAAGAGCACATATTCCGCCAAACCCCCCAACAACAGATGGATTAGACCTGTTAAACAAACCCACAGAGCACTTTGGAGTCAGAAATGAATTTCTGCAAGGATACAAGGTTTTGTCCTCAGGTAAATAGAGAATATATTCGAGTAATCAGAAGTCATCCAGCAAATGAAGATAAAAAAAGACTGTAGTTTACAATTAACTATACACATGGAGTGACTTCAGGTATATCAGTGCATGCAATGCTTTGAGAGATCAATTTTAGACCAAAACACTGTTAGCATGTCCTCCAAATGATGATGGTAACAAGCCCCTCTTGTCTGTAACCATTTTTTTGCATTTTCTATCTCTCCAGGTACGGTAACTTTCTATTGCTAGAATTATCTCAATGAAGCTTTTTTCAATCTAAATGAGAAATTCTCCTCAAAACAGGGTCCAAATAATAGACACTAAAGAGAATTGCATCTAAATAGGTTGTAATAGATAGAAAAATACCATGCTGAGTTAAAAATGCCGTCATTAAACTGCCTGGAGTGAGAACAACATTGAAGTAGAGGAGCACATACGCCAGGCTTGCAGGAAGGACAGGCTGCTGCATGTATTCTCTCCATCCAAGCTTAATGGCTTCCAAACCTGAATCAACTGGTCATAAATGAAGAAAAAAATTAGGATTTCAAAAGTTATCTGGTGAACAAGTTTAACCAAAGTTATCAGCATCTGGAAGAGCCCCCAAATCAGATGTTCCACAACAGGTTTGTGAAAATTTAGCACAGTCAAGAACTCCAGTAGAAAGTTTGTTCATTAACTATGTCAGAGCAATCTGAGGAATGGTGTTAGAATTTAGAAGAAAAAGTAGACCATTCTCCAAATAAAAAACATACTGAGAACAAGCATAAAAGCAATTACCATAACTGGTAATGACCACATCATCAAACCAGCAGCAAACTTCAAGCAGGTTACTGGATCATATTTAGAGAGAAGAATTCCAAACAATGATGTGCCAGCTATGCAATTATAGATGATAATAAATGTCTTGTTCACCAATTTAAACAATGATAATTATCATGAGAAACATTCCATTACTTGATTGCTAAGGTAACTGCAAATTTTTAAATTTTCTAGCATTTGTTTTAGGATTCATGCTCTACGGATTATAAGTAAAAAGAAAATTATTATCGCTTGAAATAAAAAGATAATTACACGGACCAACATTTCAAAAATATGAAAAATATTTAGATTATCAAATATCTCACAGAGCAGATCAAATCGATTGAGAACAGCATTTGCTTGTGCCAGTACAATTGGTCTATTTATCCCAGCTGACTGCAAGCACAAGAACTCTTGCTTAATTGATGCTCCACTTTCCAAGAAATGTATAACCAATATTATCTGTGAAGAAAACCAAAATGCACAGAATAGTGTACTACCAGCGCAACCCAGTCACACTCCATAGCAATGCCGAGTGCCACTCCAGATAGCCTCTCAATAGCCCCAGCTAACACTAGCGCAGCAAACCAAGGACGGAGAATAATAGGCAAGGCAGAATCAGGGGAGACTTATGGGAAATGAATTACCATTGCTGC